TCAAAAGTATTTATCTGTGCTTAGGATGGTCCCATGACTTCAGTATGCATTTTAAATAGGAGGAGCTTGATCCCATATTTATTCAAGATAACTAGTTTTTGTAAAAATAAGTGTCACATCTCCTTCCCTGGACGTAGTGAGGATTCTACTTGCATTGATATATGACAGAGGAGGGTGTTGAATGGAAAGGAGGAAGAAAATTAGGTAGAGACTATTTATTTTTTTTTAATTTCTCTCAATGCCTAGCCCATTGTCTTATACACAGTAGGCACACACTCAATCAATTTGAAATATTTGAGTATATACATCTTTTATGCTTCATGCTGTGCACTGGGGTATAGAGTGAATAAAATAGAAATAATCCCAACTGTATTATAGGCTGGTAGAAGAAAAAGCTCTCAGCTGATCATCATACAAGTATGTCATAATTAAAAATGGTGATATACTTGAAAAGAAGACTACAAGAGCAACTGTAAATCAGCATAATTTTCATATTTTAAGTGGGTGCTATACGACCAGATGGCTGCCTACATTACTATCCTCTCTTTTATGTTAAGGTGAAGTGCAGTTGTTCACCGTTGGGAAAATGCATAGCAGTTTTGCTGAGTCGCTCATGCATGGATGTAGTGGTGGAGAGGAGCCAGAGACTCAGATGAATTCACGCTGAATTGAGGAAAACCTACTATTAGGAAAGAAAACAAGAGCCCCTTAGATAATCATTTCCTTTACATCATACTTTTATGGTTGTTTTTTTTTTTTTTCTATAAACCGATTGTTTCCTTTGTCCATGGATTTTTTTTTGCCAAGTTTGAATGATGCAGATATTGGTAAATGAAAAATAAAAATGTTCACTGATTAAAATCAGGAAAAAAATATGCAGATCTTGTAAACTTAGGGTAGTGGTGGTGATCTGATAAGGCCCTCTTATAGGAATGTAGACATAAAGGACAAGAAAGAGTTATTCAAGTGAAGAACAGGAGGTAGAGCAGTCAAAGAAAGGGAACAGCATTATATAGGTGCAGAGGCTAAATGGAAGAGTTTGGGATGCATGAAGAAGTCTGATGAACCTGGAATATAGAGACTGTGAAGACTGTGAGGCAAGATAGCTTAAGGTAGAGTTGGAGCCAGAAGAAGGGACTAGATCATGCATGGCCTTGCAACTACCAGCTTTCTCCAGTTTGGGGAATCAATGGCCTATCCTGTTCTGTGCATCCTTATCCTAATGGCTTGGTCCTGTCTCCTTGTTTAGCCTTTAAGCCTTTTTATGGTCCTCCTATGTTTCTAGTCAGAATCATCATGATTCCTTAAAACTTTCATTTCTACATTATCAAATCTATTCCTTAGGGCTTGTCTTTGTCTTTCAGTGCCCAAGCATTTTGCTCATGGGTTAAGAGAAGGAGAACACATTTCCTGAAGCTCAGATATCTCCGATCACTAGCTTAACCTACAATTCTGTTCCCACACGGAATTCAGCAAAACCTAAATGCTCAGATGTGCTTCAGCGTATTTATAGAAAATTTCATATAGTACATGAGAAATTTGTCAAGCAGAAACCAATCATATATAAAACAAATAATTATTTACCACTTTCCATAAAATAGACTAGCCTTTTGGTCTCATATGGCCAAATCTAGCACTTGCACTTTAAATGTGGCAGAAACATTTATGTTTTCTCTTTATAGCAGACATTTACTGCACTGATTTTCATAATACATCCTGCAAAGAATAAGTGGAGAGTCATGCTCTTGACTTTTGTGTCCAACAAACATTTGCACAATGCCCCTCACATAGTAGGTGTCCAGTACTGACACCCACCTCCACCCCCGCCAGCAGAGTATGTTTCTTAGGAAAGAGAGTTTTCTCCTAAACAAATGATAGGCCCTGAAGTTTGTGGTGAATAAGCTCTGTGCTCTATATACTTCTTGGAGAGAAAGAGGCTATAAAAGAGAGGAAAGAGTGCCACTGGTTGTGAAAGTCTATAGCAGCATTATGGGTGCATATTCACCATAATGTGGCCATAAATACAAATCATGCCACCAGTCATAAAAAAGATAACATGAAGGGAATAAAATCATAAAGCCACCATATATTGGGCATTTACCATGTGTCAGATACTGTGCTAAGAATTAGCTTCAAGCTTCACAATGGCTCTGGTAGGCAGCTATTATCCTTTCTATCTTATGGGTTAGAGAAAGAAGGCATAGATGGGCAACATTAGCCTAGAACCATGCTCCAAACTCAGAATCGACCAAGGACACTTAATTTTTCAGAACAGTCTAGGCCATAGAGATCAGGGCAGATAAAAACAAAATAAACACAAACACACTGTCAGATGCCAACTCAGGAGCTGACATAAGTGACCTGACCTGTATGTCACCAAAAGAGAGCGATTACCAGAATTAGCATATTTCCTAAAGAACTTGAGTAAATAGTGCATCTGCTGCCATGGAAGTTGCTTCATACTTTTTTTCAAAAATGCTATCAAATAGCCTAGAATGTTATGCATCCCCTTTTCAAAAAATACTGTTCTGTTTGATTCTGTTCTGTTCTATCAGTCTGATATTTGAGCAAATGTCAAAGTGAATAGATAGATTAGAGCAGGGTCAGCTCAAAGGGATGATGCTTGAGTCTTGATAGAGAACCTGATATGTAGTGGCTTTGTGACTTTATTATTTCCTTCAAGTTGGGACTTTATTAAATACCTACCAAGGACAAGGCAGTGTATGTGGTGAGGACACACTGATGCATAAGAAAGACAATCTCCCCATAAACACCCTCCACCCCTCCTTGGATTTCCAGGCTTGGCTAGCTCACTGTGCCCTGCCTGGTCTCACAAGGGATCATTTCCAATCCAATCGACTGGGAGATAGAAGGAGAACTTGATTCTGTACTACTTTCCCACCCTGATTTAGCAAAGTCTAATTTATGGCTTTGGAAGGTGATATAAAAACATTTCTTATCTCTCTGTTTAGTTGACTGTATATTTTAGTAATTTGTGTTTTTTATATATGCACCTTTGCAATTTAAGAAAAAAGATTGAACTCTGAGTTTATCACTTTGATCAAGGAATTGCATATGCTAACTGGCCTTCATGTATGGTGCAGATTCACTGACCCACTATCAGTAAAACATGCTTTGTGAAATGTTTTCTCAGAAATGGAGATGCATTTGCACAAATTGCTTCCTATTCTCTTGGTGTCTCTTATTAGTGGCAGCATGCATTTGTATGAAAGCTGGCAGGGGTTAGGACGCAGACTGTGGTCATGGACCTCAGCACAGCTAAATGGCATGCACAGGGATGAAATCTGCAACTCTTGCCTCATTAGCACCATGTCCCCTACTGAGTTAACCAGCCATAGGCAATTGGAGAACTCTGAAGGTTAATTCTTTCTGCCCATAGGTAGAGTTACAGCTCAATGGACTAAGCCCTTAAAATGTTATCACTTCAACCAGGAAATTTTAAGTGGAAAAAGTGGCTGGTAGTACAAAAAGGTTAAACGAATTGAAAACAGGTCTAAAACAGGCTTGCAGTATTCTCAACAGTTTCATAAAATATTCTGTAACTTTGGCAGAGGTTATGACTTGAAACATGTTTCAACCATGTGATTACCAGGAACTATTAAAATAAATAGCACAAATAGGGCAATTAAATATAGGTACTCACAGCTTCAAAACAAGAGGGGAGGAAATGAAGCAGCTTTGTTTTTCTTTCAAAAAACACCCAGGTGACTTTATTTGGAATTTGAATAAAGACCTTTTTATTCAAATAGGAAGGAAGGCTGCTAAAGCTAAAAAAAAATGTCGATTATTTCCCCCTCAAGGGATTCCTGTCCTGAGCGGATGTATCCGTGTGAGGCAAAGCTCCTGCTAAATTACATACAAAGCAGGCAGAAGAGATGGGCTCTGAGGACACAGCCAAGGGACCGATGTCCGTGTAGCTTAAGATAAATGTCATGACTTCACTTTGCACTTCTTAGGTCTCCTGTCACCCCAAGTCCCTATTCGTTTTCAACAGGCACTCTGGCCTTCCTCTCCTGGTTCCCGTGTTTGGAAGACACAGTGTATGCAGGAGGACAGGAAGGTCTCTCTCTGCTACAGATCCCTCGTGTGTGAAATGGGCACTAATACTGATGAACTGGACAGAGCCCTGGTCTCTGCCCTTGTGTACAAGGGAAATGAAAAATGAGTGCCCAGATGTGCCTATCTGCCCATAAAGGGAAAGCCACAAACTCACTGGGGGTGCTGCTAGACAAGGGAAAGCTGGTAGGTCTTTAGCAGTTAGGCCACAAATGTCACGGCAAGGATTGGGCACTTGAATAGGAACGTGCTATGGTGTCTTGCAATTCTTCCATTTGGCTTGCTGCTAAAAGGTAGAATAAAGAATAATTATTTGAAATAGCTAGGATTTCTTGAGCACTTACCATATGCTACCTACTAGGTACTTGGAAAAGTCCATGTGATCTTTGCAGTGGGGAGTTATAAAAGTTAAAGAAAAACAGCCCAGAAGGGCAGAGCCAGGGTCCAAATGAGGAAGCCTGTCACACGTGTCAGCCTTGCCCACAGTTTGTTCTTCACTACAGTGTTCTTCGAAATAGCAGTGGAGTTAGCAATCATGGTTCACAGTCAACTGGATAACTTGTCTAGACATACACAAGGGATTTTCAACTGCCGAAGGAAGAAAACTTACTTGTAAGGAATAATTATCTAATGGTATGACAGAACACAACATAGGGATTATAATGGAAGAAATAATTGTAGGTGCCCAGAACTAATTTACCTATCCTGTTGTCTTCTGAGGTGTATGTGTGAAGTTACATAGAAATTCCTGAAGTGTGGTGCTGAGAAAGGGCCCTCCGAGTTCTTCTAGAATAATATGTTAGGGGCATAAAGCAATATTGCAAAGTGTGTATATCTTTCCCACATAATCAGTTCAAATGGATGTTTTTTAAAAGTATATTCTGTCATGTAACATTAAATCCTTTATCTAATTTAATTTACAGAACTTCTTTCAAATAGTTAGCAACCTTCTAGATGAAGAAAACAAGGAAAAATGGGAAGACGCACAACAGGTAAGATTGGAGCTGTTTCATACCTAAAACAAAGTTGGCTAAAGAAAGCTATAAAAATGTGTGAAGAAATTAATGGTTTGCTGTTCCCAGAACATAAAAGGAGACTTTGATTAGACACTTAGATGTCATCCTAGATTGTATTATACTAATTTTAGAGAAAATAAGTGATCTCTTTTATCCTAACAATTAATGGAATGAATATTATGAATGTGAACAAACTCTAACAGGTTTGAGTAATTCGTAATGTTGAGGCATCAGTACATAATAACTATATGCTTTACCAACCACTTTCTGTCCTATCTACAGACTATGGGAGAAATAGCAAGTCCAAAAGCATATCTCCAAAACCAAACTGGGGGGTATTTACAAGGAAAATCAGTTGCGTTTACTATAGCACTATGTAGAGTCTGGATCAGACATGCAGATGTGCATTTGGATTCAAAGCCAAGAGTTGTAAAAATGAGTTATCATAAGATAATTTGTATTCTGATTTTTTTCTCTTTCTGCCATGCATGATCAGTGTAGCAAGTGACCCTATTGATTTAAATGCCTTTCAAAGCCATTTGTGCTATACTGACTTATGTGTGGTTAATAACACTTTTTTTTCTAAATTAGAAAAAATAAGTGGGTTAGAGGTTAAGAAAGGGAAAATAAACATGTTTTTTAAATATCCTGTGGAAATTTAATTTGACTGACTGTTAAAATTCTTTAAGTTTTCTAGTCGAGACTTGTTAATTCCAAAAGAACAACTAATCTTAAAAATAAGAATGTTTACTGAGATTCAAGTGAACCATCTATCCTTTTCTCCCCTTATAATCATCTTCTGGGCCTTCAGGAGCAAAGCATTCCCTTTATTCCTGTTATGATTGGGGCTCTAAAAATAGTCCAGTGTGAGTCTACCTCATTATCAGGTACAAATTCTCTGCTTCTGGCCATAGCAAGAAAAAAAGACCACTCCTTCGTTTAAGACCTTGAATCCATCTTTTTCTGCTAGTTTGAATTATATATTTGTCCTTGGCTTTCTTCTGGAGGAGAGCCTCATTCACTCACTGTAAGGAAATGGTGTCTTTCCCTAGAATACAGCTGCAGAGACTAAGCACATCCTTCCAGAATGCTGGAGACTATTAATTATGGATATATTTAGAACAAATATATAATACCCTTTTTAAAACAAGACTGCAATTCATCGGATGACATTCTTTATTGTGAGGTCCCAACTTGAACAAATAATGAATGGTAGCACAACTTCTCATCAATGGAAAATCCTAAATTCATAATACATCTATTTACTTGTGATTTTGAATTAGCTATATCCTTATCTTTTATATATTTTTCAGTAGTGATACTCATTAATGACATTTTAAAGGTAACTATTTGAAGCTTCACAAAAAAACTATTTTGTAGCTTTTACTAAAAGATATTTCTATAAATGCAGCCACGTGGGAAATGAGTCTCGAGGTTGATGGCACAAAGGTTGGACTCCATTTGTCACACATAGTTCATCTGAAATTCACCTGGTAATTGGAGTGACCACTTGCTAGTTAACTGACTTTATTCAAAGAAAGAAAAAGTAAGCTTTTTCTATCTTCATGAAGGTAGTTTTGCAACTTAGAGCAAGCTGCCTGCTGAAGTTACGTTTCTACTCTCCAGTAGAACTGAGACAGAGGCCCTGTCTTCTTTGTTACCACCTCTGTCTCTCTCTGAAAGACATCCTGGGTCTTTAAGCTGGTAAGAGTCTACTAAGCTCTTAAAAAAGATTTACATACATTTCAAAGAGATAGAGAAAGAACTTCTCAATTATTAGTCTTCAAAAGCAAATGCTTTAAGAAAACGGATGAAGGATGTGGGGCTGGGAGAGGGAGTCTCTCATTTTCAGAAGGAAGAATTAAGCCTCTTATTTTTAATTTATGTTTACCCTTACATGACACATACTCATATATACCTACACAAAAATAGTAGAAAAAAATCTGGTAGTACCAGAAACCTTGGAGCTGACAGAAATTTCATGCAGATTTTTGGAATGATGATGATGGACTCTTAAATTCATAATCAATGATTGAAAACTAGGTAAGAAAGAATATCACTCCCCAAATCTTTCCAAAATTAAAAAAAAAATTTACAGGTATCTATGCCACAAATTTTTAAGTGTCATAACCATTGTTCATGTCTTCAAATATATGTGGGTAACTATACTATGCACCTTTAGTATCTGAATTTTAGCTGGGTACAGGCAACTTTACACACCACACCTGCTATTCACCCTGCCCAATGTGTCTTCCTTCTATTCTGGTCTTCTGGCTCTGACTGTATGTTTTTCTGCTAATCAGGCTGTCTCTTACCCTTCCGCACTAGGCTTTGCAAAGACAAAGCTGCTATAACTCTAATCCACTTAATTTTTTCATGCCTAGAAGTGGCAGTACTGAATGGCTAAAAGAAATGAACCTAACTTCAAAAGATGTTTCTACTCTAATGTGGTTATATAATGCAGGCTGACTTTATAAGCATTATGGGTTACTCATACTAACATTCATATGACTTTTTTTTAAATGGCCTTCACTTCCTACACACTATGAACTATTGCCAGAATTGGATTGTCTTTAAGAGAAAAACTCTGCAGTGTGTGAGGTGGCATAGTGTTGGGTTTGCTAACATTATTATTCATACCATGGTTATTATAGCTATGGAAGTAAATGTCCCTCCCAAGACTGAATGAACTTAATAGTTTGTAAATATCTTCATGATGGCAATAATTGTTTTTCTTCCAATATCTATCATATAGATGCTAAGTAAAAAGTGCAAAAAGCCTCAAAATTTCAGTGTTTGTTCTATGTTATATTTAAGTGAGTAAAAGACCCCATCCAAAGTAAAGGCAGGCAATTTCTAGGTATACAATCTGTTAGATATTTTTAGTTTCTTTAGATTTATGGAAGATTAATCACTGCATCATATCATATCACTGTCAAAGCTCTTGCTGTGTGATACCTGATATCATTCTCAACTCATGGTTCTAAAACACAGTTGTTGCCAGATGAAGGATTTTCTTCAAATAAAACAGAGCTCATTTGTGACCTCATTATGTAGTTTTGTTATTCCAGTTACCTTCCTACTATAGAGACTTTATTCCTTCTAATCCTTGCTTATTTTTGTAGATTTATCCTGGCTCGATTGAATTAATGCAGGTGATTGAAGATTTTATACACATTGTTGGAATGGGGATGATGGACTTTCAGAATTCATACTTAATGACTGGAAATGTAGGTAAGAAATAAGATTGTTTCCCAAAATCTTACTGAAATAAAAAAAATTGCAAGTATCTGCGCCATACATTCCTAAGTGTAATATCCATTGCTCATACCTTCAGGTATATGTAAGTAATGTGTTATGGATACTTTGTGTATGATTTTTAGATAGAACCAACCACATATACATTATACACATCCAGACACACATTTGCATGGAGTCATATATAGTGTTTACCTTGTGTTCATCTGTACATGTATACATAAAGGAGATCATGTGCTCCTTTTTTCCATTTGTCAAATATTCATTGCTATCCAACCTAATGTTAAAAATACATAATACATATTGTTGTGTGTCTTTTTTTTTAATGAGTCTTCATAATCTTCCATACATTGTTCATGAAGATGCCAGGTTACTATTTAGCTAGCTGTCCCAAGGAAGTACTGAATCAGCATGGGTCTTGGGATGCTTCAAAATACCTGTGAGGGTCACGGTCATGGTGCTGGTGGTGCTGGTGCAGTTTTCCTGAGTAACTTCCAGGGCACAGGAGATCTCTCAGGTCCCTCTGCAGTGGATTCTGTGATGCCAGAGCACATAAAGTGAAGACGTATTTCTTCCTTTAGTTGCTTTTAAAATTGTCCCTAATAGGGAAGAATTACACAGAGAAGCCAAACCTGCACACACTTCCATGGTGTCACAATTACACTGAGCCAACAACCGTTATGGTAACCAAATGGCAGATTATTCCTTACAGTAAAAAAAAAATGGCAAGAGCAAAGAAATAGTCTTCTTAAATATTATACACATTGAGTTGATATAGACTTACAGTTTTCTCATTTCTTTAAAGCTTCCTCTTATAATGTTGCTGTGATTCAGATTTTCTGTTATTTGTCATGCTTTAGTATTCTTCACATAACGACCACTGAGTTATAGAGAATTATGTGTTTAAATAAGTATATCTTACCTCAGATCCTTATTCATGGTATATTTAATCTTTAGTTCTTGGATCAGGAAGATACCTAACTTGGAGAGGGATTAACTAGGGGAGTTTAACTAGTACAGGACACACACACACACACACACACACACACACACACACACACACATATGTGAATAAGGATTTTCCTGGTTAACTTTATGCTTGATTTCTTCTGAAGGTACTTAATCCCTACAGGGACTCATGTGATCCTAAAATATCTTCTATCAGGATGGCCTCAAATTGTAGTAGATAATAGCTAATTACTGGTAATATTCTTTAGTTGAGAAAGGCCTATGCAATTCCTTAAAGGGGACATTTCTATGCCAATATACCATCTTCATGCAGCATTAAGGCCTTACAGTTAGATTGTGGTTTAATCTGCCTTCTGAGTCAGTTTGAGGGCCTAGATTTACCCTCTGAGTAGGGGTTTAGGAGCTTGTGCTGGTTCAGAAATGGAGTGAACTTGTCCTTGCTCTAAGCAATGAGAAGAGGACCAATAATAGTATCTTTGTTGTAGGATAAATTCAGAAATCAGAAAAATCCAAGTTAAATGTCCATTCCCAAAGTGGCTGAGCAAAGAGAAGAAAGATCAACCCTGTAGGAAAAGTGATAGCATATTGGGCTTTGGGTTTTTGGGTACATGGAAGGAAGAACCTAGAGAGATTCTGGTGAGGTTGGTCATTCAGGCTGGAGCCACTCTCCAAAGGGATCCCTGACTTCTGTGGCAAGGGGGCCCAGGAAGGCTGCTGTGCCAGATTATGTCACAGAAATGTCAAAAATGACATTTGCAAAGTCATTTACAAGGAAAACTAAGGGGAAAACACACACAGGTATTGTTTCTTTAATTATTTTTTGGTAAATGTTAACATCTAATTTAAAGGAATTGCTAATTAAAAGTATCAGATTGATACATGGCATTTGTTCAATTTGGAAAAAACTATAACAGAAGCAATGCCAATCTCAGAGTCTGATAAACTTAAATTCAGACTTAAAGGACATTGACTACCAGAATGAAATTCTTTATTGTACTAGTATAATTTACCATGAAAACTCAATAAATTATGAACATTTATTATTACTCTTTACCTATCTTTTGACTTATCAAAATTACATATTTGAAAACTTTGTGTATTATTTTTTGCATTAAGATTCTGTTAACTATGTTTGGCTATGTCCCTTACCATCACTAAACTTTAAGAAGTGTATTAAGCATAGTAACCCAAACTAATTAAATACTACAGATAAAGCCAATATGATCCTATACTGTCCTCAATCTTGTGTAAGAACAGTGTGATTCGGCTTCCTGATCATTTATGTAGAATTAATTATATTTTTAAAAATGGTTATATCCTGTATGATATTATTATGCTAGCTAAAAGAGATCTTATTTATTATTGATTTCTTCCCAGTACTAGCCCAGAAACTTACTGTAGTTTGATGACTAGAAGGTTATTCTCAATAATATTTTGGAATTTTTCCAAAGTGTATCCATTTATTAGTCAGGTTCTCCAGAGAAACAGAGCCACTAAGATATAAGTAGGTATAGAGAAAGAGATTTATTTTGGGGATATTGGCTTATGAAATTATGGAGGCTGAGAAGACCCACCATCTATTGTCTGTAAGCTGGAGGCCACAAAGGCTGATAAGGTAGTAGTTCCAGTCCAAACTTGAAAGTCCAAGAACCAGGAGTACCAATGTCTGTGGGCAGGAGAAGATGGATGCCACACCTCAAGCAAAGAGCAAATTCGTTCTTTGCCTTTTTTGTTCTATTCAGCTCTCAGTGGATCACATGGTGCCTGCCTGCATTGGTGAAGGAGATCTTCTTTCCTCAGTCTACTGATTCAAATGCTAATCTCTTCCAGTAATATCCTCAGAGACACACCCTGAAATAATGTTCTGCCAATTATCTGGGCATCTGTTAGCCTCATGTTGATACATAAAATTAACCAAACAATCCACAAGTATCAAATTGGATAATATAAATAATAATTACTTATTCTACATATTCTTCATGTTATCCAAGTTGATGCTAGTAGATATAAAATATGATTATACTGTTTTGTCTGATATTTCCAATGTTTTTGGAGGACACATATAGAGAATAATTGACAGTAGCTAATTGTGAAATGGATGACTTGTCATTGATTTATGTTACATCCTAAATCCAAATATTAATTACCCACCATTGAGCTGATTATACTGAGCACACACATATGCACACACACACATGTGCAGTGTACAAACACATGCTCATGTGTGCACACATGAACACACATGTACACACAGCTTGTAAGTAGTAAATAGAGACTAAGTAACTAAGAAAGGTTGCTTATTCCTTATGGACATTTTCTTCAGGGTATGTTGGATTAGGACTACTTAACCCCAAGAGATCATCATGTATTTTTTTTAATTTTTTAAATGTTTTTATTTATTTATTTTTTTGAGAGAGAGAGACAGCGTGAGCAGGGAAGGGTGAAAGAGAGGGAGACACAGAATCAGAAGCAGGCTCCAGGCTCTGAGCTAGCTGTCAGCACAGAGCCCGACACAGGGCTCGAACCCGTGAACCGTGAGATCATGACCTGAGCCGAAGTCAGACACTTAACTGACTGAGCCACCCAGGCGCCATTCATCATATCTTTTAAAGAGATTAATTTTTTTTTCCCATAAAGCCCACATGCATAGCCACCTCACTTTTCTGGGATGTAGGTAAGTTCTTGAAGAAAGACAGAGTTGAATAGCCAAAAATAATTATCATAAAGACCATGCAGTGTAATAAGAGAGTTTCAGAACCTTGCTGATAGCCTATTGCATTTCAACTTTGAGTATAGTTTCAGAATTCCCATTTTCTGGTTCCCGGTTTAGGTAAAATGAGTTGGAAGCAGAAACAATGCTGTTAGAGGCACATATGTAGCAAATATAAAAGCTGAAAGCCTGAAACAATAACGACAAAGCTATACTGAAAGAATATAGCAGAGTATGGAACTTGTCATACAGGAACAAACAACTCTCAGCTCACCTTTGAGAAGATTAATTTGAAGACTTAGTATAATAATTTAGGTCTAAAATAATGGCTTTTATTCATCAAGATAAAAGTGTCTATCAGCTGCTTAAGATGGAAAGAAAATGGGTGATGTTTCTTGGAAAGATTTTCTTCAAAATTAGTTCCATTGAAAATTTTTGAAGTTTCTTTTTCCTGAAGAATATCCCTACCTATATCAGCTGTTGATAAATGAAATGCTATTATATGGTAAAAATCCATGAATATTTTGGTATAAATATGTGCATGTTTATTTTTGGAGGGAGCAGGTCCATAGCTTCGATCAGTTTCTCAAAAGACTTATCATCTTAAAAGTTTAAAACAAAGCTTGAAAAAAATATTCTATGAACAAAGATGTTAAACAAGCTAATACATTTATAAAATAATTGAGCTTAAATAGAATACTTATTTTTTATAATCACATATGAATGTGACATTCAAAATAGACACATGATAATTATAATAAATGAAAGTTAATGAACACTTACTGAAGACTAAAGACTAAGTAGCTTATATAATTACTGAATAAATGAATGAATAAATATGAAAAATTGATATGGTGCACAGGTACTCCAATTAACAATAGGTCTCCATTTGTCACAAAATTGCATTCTAATTATGCTGTTTGGTATAGGTTTTTGTTTCAGTAAAAGATGAGAAGTTTTTTTAAAAATATGATTGTTGTCAATTAGGTCAGGGGATCTATATCTTAATACTATCTAATATGAGTTAAAGTTAGGTTTCTTCAACAAAAATATTCTTTGAAGAGTTGTTTAAACATACTCTTTGTTCTTCCTCTGTAAATATTTTCTCTTAAGTCCCTTGCAGCTCAGTGTTTCCCTTATCACTTCCCTGAAACTACTTTCAGAAAAGCTTTCTGGAAACTCCCAATTGCCAAATGAAATCTTTTCCCATATTTCAACCTTCATCTCCTCTGTGCCTTGCTAACCACTCTCTCTTTCTTGAAACTGTTCATTTTTTTTCTTTACCATTTTTTATGTT